CAATTGGTGTTGAATGGACAAAGGAGAAATGCCGCGGAGCAGAGGATTGTGATTGTGAGACAAGAATGAATAATTGGGTATTGAGAAACAAGCACAAAATTTAGCAAGAACTCAAAATCAAGATATGAGTGGAAAAATTGCATAAGATTTAGTTAGACCTACAATGTCACAAAAATCAACAATTGATTCACATTTGTTTAATCAAGAAAGTTATTGTGGTACAATTGGTGATGAATACTCTTACTTACAATGAGTCTCTTTTTGGTGGTGCTCTCCAGACACCTGGTCTACCAACAGCCAAAGGATGTCCTCACCGCACCTTGGGGCCACCTCGGATCAGAATGCCACATACATATTGAATGTGCATCCTGAAGCCACCGGCCTCTTGGACACCATGGGTATGTCCCAGCTCGGGATGTCTTGCTAAGTCCTTGACTGTGACACCGCCACAGCATCCAACGGAGGAACTGAGGATGTCACATGCTGGGGACATCTCAGTGATTACCCAACTTTGGATGCCAGCACAATGCCTCACTGTAGGATGGCTGGGACATCCTCCTGGGAAAATGTGTCTTTGGGGTGTACTGAGGTCCCAGGTTCAAATCCTGGTCTAGTCGCTTTCTTTTCTGACCCGTAATTTTAACAGGAATAACATTATCACATTATCATTCAACAACTACATAATTTTTCTTTTATTCAACTTCCTAGAACCTTTAAACTTTTCTCATCAATTATCAAACTTTCAAGGCCGGATACTACGGACCTTGAAACTCAAACCTTGTGTCTTGTTGCTGATTCTGTGTGCTAATTCAACTTTGTTTCTGATTAGACTCCATTATCAGTATTATTGGTAATATATATCCATTTGGTGGAATTACTTGTAAGGAAGTGGTCCTCAAGTATTTCTCATATCAGATTTGGGATTCATCTGGTTATAAGAAACTCTAAATCTACAGGGAAATCTCTATTAGTCAGAGTGTAAAGTTCCTGGTGTCATAATAGACCTTAACACCACCTTCTTTGACCTTTCTTTGAATAAGAAGAGGATCAAATTAGGATTGAGAACTGCGTGTCAGTTGCTCTTCTTTTTAATTATTGTAAAGAAAATAATTAACCCAAAATCCCTGGGCTAAAGCCTTTGTTTAAAGGTCAACTGACTGTAGTCTTTACTTGTTTATTGCAAGTAAAGCTCTAACACCCACATCTCTCCCTGTTAATACTTTTAGATCTTGATCTACACAGCTTTAGTAGAAGTTATTAGACCTTCTCCAAGATTTTTGTTGACTCTACTAGCCTAACAGACACTAGTAGCCTCACACTTGATCTATGAATACAGGAGCAGGTTTGTACAGATCTTTGATGACATTGCAACCCTGGTAATAAGACTGACAAATGACCCACAGTGATATCATGTTGAAATAATCTTGAAGTTGTTTTGACACAGTTAAAGTCCTGGTGAAGCCAGTGGTAGCCACTGGCCTTCCAGTGACTGGTAACTGAGAACTGTGTGTGTAGTCCTGTTGACAAGACAGACCTGACTCAGGTACATCACTTCATATCACAACAACCATTGAGAGCTCACCAATCTCCAGGCTGAGCTCTAAGTGTCTATCTTGGGATAAGGACCGTAGAGCCACATCTGCTCATTCCCTCAGAGATGAACCAAGAAAGTTCCTTGTGCCATTGCCACCACCAGACCAACAAGACCTAAGGTTAAAGATTCAAAGTTTATAGAATCAGTCTTTTAAATTGGATCCCGGTATCCCCACCACCCCCCTGCCTTTCACAGATAGTGTCATGCCTAATTACCCGTGACACAAGTGATGTACAGGCAATGTACAGGCTGTATATACCAGGGTATTGAGGATTCAAGAGTGGTCGCTTTTGAAGTCCAATCGATTATGATTTGTTGTTCACGCTGAATCAACATCAACAAGGGAAACTTTGAATAAAGTCCCGTTTCTTTGCATCCCCATTCACTAAAATTTCAATGAAAAACTGATCTTGCCTTCTGACTCAAACCCATTGATCTTCAAATGACAACATCCGCAACAAAAAAGCAAAGCTTTCAAAATCAAATTGAAATATGACTCAAATGACAATCCGCGTAAAGATTTGGAACAAAACAATTCCCCTGTGTTTATTGAAAAAATCAGTTTATTTGTGTTATTTTGAGTGATGCTACACTTTTATGTATTGTTTTGTTGGTTTGTCTTGGACTACTGTGACAATATATCATTTAGTTTGAGATAGCTACAGACATAAATTTGCTGCACCAGTAGATCAGGTTCAAGATCTTTTGCAACTCACAATTCATATTGGATCCAGAGAGGTGATAATACCATCTTGCAGTAGATTGAGTAGGATAAAAAGATCAAGAGACTGACCCAACTGCAGCCTTAACACACCTTTTGTTTAGGTATATGGTTCGAGTTTGATATTCTCTAGGTGATGAATTTGATGGGACTGTTCTTTGAATATTGATCCTGTCTTCGATTGCTCATACTGTTTGAAATGATCACTGAATGGTCTTGTTGATGTTGATTGAGTGTGAACAACAAATCAAATGATTTGATCTCAAAAGCGATAACACATTACAGATTGCACATGCCTCGTGTCACTGGTGATTAGGCATGACACTACCTGTAAAAGGCAGGTGGTGGTGGGGATACCGGGATCCTTTGAATTTTGTATATCTTAGACAAAGCTTGAAAGTTTCTAGGAAAGATGAAATGAGTGAATTGTAAATTAGCCAAATGATAGTCTGATGGTTCCCAAAATGGTCAGATTTTGAGGGTTTATGTATTCTGAACCTTGGAAATCTTTGGACTAAAAGTCCACACAAATTTACTATTGGGTCATAAGAGCATTCACAGTGGTGCCTGTATTTTAGGGGCTCCCAAACAGACCCCCAAGAGGGATTCCCAAATGTGGGGGGTCTGAAAAGGGGTGTATGTGCAGCGGACCCCTTGATTGTGGTGTTTTGGTATACTTGTACTCAATATTTTCAAAACACACATCCACCCAAGGACCCCAGTAGTGGCATATTCAATGCCAGTACTGGGTTGCACGTGACTTCAAGAGTCTTGATCAACCCGCTAAATCTGGAGACTCAACAAAAATTTAGAGACTCTCAACATCCCATCTCACATTTTACAGGGTCCACTGCAGTGATCTTCGACAATTTCACCACCTGCATTGTTGAGAGCCTGCATTTTGAGAGCTCTGCTGCTATTTCACTTGTGATGTACATATGATGGCACTGAGATATATGTAGCTTTGGTTTACATGAAAGTTGTGTATGTACATAGAAACTCTTTGATGTACGTTTTGCACATGTTACATATGCTGAACCACATGTAACCTGACTCTTAAACCCAAGCCTTGAGTTGTATTTGCTATTTTTTAAGGTCTTATCATAGTACGTTGCCCATTGGTACTTGGCTTCAGTACTCAGGGCTGACACAATTGTTGTGGGTTTAGATCACAATAGAATCTCACTTAACCCAAGTCCGATTGTGCAAAAGCTCACAGTAACCCAAAGCCAAGGGAGGGACTTGCACATTAAACGACATCTGTGGTGTGACCAATAGCCCCAAAAAGTGAAATTTGGGTCACTTTTGGATACAATCCATCCTATCTCATCCAATATTACTTTGATCTCATCTCTGAAACTGGCTGGTATGAGTTCAGCATCTTGTACATAACTTCTATTAGAAAAACAAGAGAATCAAAATGTGCCAGCTCACAAGAATCCAGGCTGGCAAATGAATAACAAGTTTGTTCCAAGACATTACAGGGAGTCAATTGACCATCTCTCAAGCCTTTCTGAGGGTACACATAACAATCTTAGGGGTTGCAATTTCAAATCCAAAAATAAGGAGCCTCACACCATGTCAGTATCCTTGCAGCACGTCAACGTGCACACACGGAGAGTTTTGAAAAAAAACAGAAAGCTGTTTGGTAGGCTTTAGACTGAGATTGGTGCCAAGCACCCTTTGTGAATGATAATTTGACAAAAGAATTTGTGAGATCCTTTGTCAGCAGTTGGGGTCAACTGAGTGCCAACATCCCAGTTGACAAAGGGAAGACATGCCTATTGTGGAGACCTCTTTAATGGGTCTTTCAAGTATGTATTGAAAGTATTTGGTGTGTGCACGTCAACGTGCTACATGGATACGGACACGGTGTCAATGAATCAACACAATCATGAGCTCTGTCAAGATTCTGAAGTGACCATTTCCTTCAGAACTCAATAGAGCTCATCTGACTCTTTTTTTGGAACAAATGGGCTTGTGACTTGTGGTGAAAAAGTAAAGTGAAAAAGCACCCACCAAAAGGAAGCTATTAGTCATGCAACAATTGATGTTTAATGTGCAAGCCCCCTGTGCCAGAGGTGGACAAGTCTGAGAAAAATCACCTGGCACAGTGGGCTTGTTGTTAAGCTAGCAATAAAATATATTTTGCTTACAATGATCCAAAAGAAATATTTATTCTTACTGTGGATTGATAAAGATCAGTGAACTGGCTTGTTGATCAAGTTGGCTGTCATTTGGGTCAAAGCAGTAACATCAATACCAAGCATAAAAAGTGAAAGGATTGTTTGGTGTAAAGACTGAGGCTCAGAATACATTCAACAGGGCTCTCAAATGAGTTTGACACGTGATTTTTGCATGTTGAAGTTATGGCACATTGGCATTTCTCAGCCACCATACAAAACAGAACCTTCTGCGTAAGTCATATACAGACTGCAAGGTATTGCTGTATGTATACATAGGACAATACTTTTACAAATTGCTTGAGACAGACTATTTTTACATTATAAGGAACTTCTTTGAATTAATGAAAAAAACCAAATCAAATCTAACATAAATCAAACAAAGTGAGACTGCTTAGAACAAATCATGTGAGAAAGAAAAAGGGTAGATATTTCAATTTATACTTTAAAGTCATGGAAACTCATTAAATTCATTTTAAATTCTTCATTCAATTATACAAATTCAATGACCATGACCAAATATCCTAGTCAATATTGATGGAGCAATCATGCCAGAGACCATAAGAAGTGAAGTAGTAAGTCTTGACATTTGTACACTAGAAGATGAATCAGAAACAGTTTGATGATTGATTTCTGATCCTTCCTCTCGATTTCCCCCTGACATATTCAAAGACGATGGTAGTTTTGAATGATAATGAGTAACTTGTTCTGTGACACTATGTTGCATAGCATGAATTGCTATGAATAGAAATGTACCACCTGAGAATAAGAGTGTCATTCCTATCCACCATTGCATTGAAGCTTGACGAGAGACTGGAAGAGAATCATTCCGATCATGGTTCATATTATGACCAATGAGAGTTGTGATCAAAGACCATGTGATCAAAGAACCAAGAGGAGTAGCTAGACTGAAAGCAAACAGAATCCGACGAATGATATGTCGAGGAATACCTTCGGACATGAGTACAGCCACCAAACCGAAAGCAACAGGTGCCTTATGAACGATGATCGCAATGAAGACAATCAAATCCAGTGCTAAGACATCTTTCGAAGACGAAGCATTCGCAGTGGCTGGCAGGGAATTGAAAGTTGATGAAGCTCCAAGGGATATTCCATCGGCAAGTGAATGAGTTAATAAACCAAGAGTGGTCGAAAGCAAACTCTTATGAGATGAATGTGTGTGTGAGCAGGTAGCAACAAGAGGCTTGACGCAAGACCCATCACTCGAATCCACGACTACCACACCGGTCGAATTAGCCTCGGTAAGCGTGTTATTAGGCTCTGGGCCTGATGATCCGAGGATAAGGAATTAATTGATTTGAACGAGCGGATCAGAGTAGAGTCAGATGAGATGGATCGAAAAGATGAGAAAAGAAGTAAGATTGATGATGCACGTATGACCAAGGAAGTTGAACTAGTTGAGGTAGAACACCGATGAGAATCGTTTGGGATTGGTTCTGGAGAACTAGCTTGATCTATTAAGAACCTATGAAAATTAGAATTCACCGAATTTAGTACCAAAAAAAACCTCTAAAGAAACGATAAATTCAAAAAGAGGATGGATTTTACATTAAAAGAAAACCAGATAATAAAGCTAAACCGATTGGAGGATGATGATGTTGATGAGATTGATCATCATGATGAGGAATGATAGATTGATGATTAAGAAGTTGAATTCGATAAATAGCTTCTATGCCCTCAGGGATGATCACTGTCAAAGCTACACCCACCAATAGACCTACTCCGATGATGCTGAGTTGACGACTACGAAGCGGTGAGATTGATCTTGAGAGTGATAATGGTATACTTCCTAAAAATAAAGCTATCATGTAAAACCAAATGGTCGGTTAGACCATCTCAATCCAAAAAAATAAAAGATGAATCACTGAACTTGTGAAGAACATTATCGTAGAATAGATTGCTAATTGAAGTAAACCCATCTTTTTGAAGTTATCTTGAAGGAACCGAGGTTTTGATTTGAAGGATGAGAATGTGATGAGACTCGTTCACTGGTTCTCATGACCTGGTCAGTGGTCATTTTCCAAGATTGATAGAAACTGCATTATTTTAAACACTGTAAACTGATAAAGTACTTTCTAATAAACTTGCTCTGATATGTTTAGTTTACCAATCAAATCCAAAAAATGACCAGTTTCCAGCAATCGATCCTCAACACATTCAAATCAAATCAAATCACTTCTAACTTGGAAATCGACAAAGTAAAGTACTCTTTCTCTAACACAATCTATCATACATTGGAGACTGACTTTATTATTTAGACAACTTTAGATTATATTTTACATTTAATTCAAGATTCAGAGATTCCAAAAGATGAACAAATTGAAACTATTCGTGGTATCTTGGAACTTGAATTAGATTCTACAATCTCAGATTCTAGTAAGCAACACTTCACCAGCTTTCAAATGACCTTTCCTAGACTAATTTAACTAATCGATTTGCAATGATTGGTTCTTTAGCGTCAGATCAACCAAACCATGACTTACTACTGGATGAATGTATTGAAAAAGTACTTCAACTAGCATCAGATTATCTCCAAGATCCTAGTCAATTCAAAGAAGAAGAAGAAGAACCAGAAGAAAAGGATTCAAATCCTCTAGATCAATCATGTTCGGATCTTTAAAAACTCATACCAAACCTCTATTCTCTTTCTGAAAAACCAAACATCATTTCTTTTTTGGATTCACAACAGGTACAAAGATCAGCAAAGACTACGGATCACTAAACTCAGATGAATTACAAAAAAAAGCCATCATAGCAACATATGGAAGGGTAGAAGATGAAACTGATTCAAATCAAATTCAGAAATTAACACCTAAACAAATTCAAGAATTAAAAGATGCAGAAACTTCAATGTTGGAACAACAATTGAAACTTTTAGGATTAAAATCGAAATCTAGAAAAAAAGCTGAAAGTAAAATCGGAGGTGGTGAGTTTTGATTCGCATCATTTTCTTTTCAAATGTCGAATCTTCATTGTGACATCTCTGTTCTTACTAATTCGACTTTTGGGTTCTTCACCAGATCCATTACTAAGACCAAATTTAAATTCGGCAGTAGTAGATTACGAAACAAAACTAAAAAGGGAAGAAGCAGCAAGTAAAGCAAAGGCTAAATCAGAAAAAGATAAAGCTGATTTAACAAAACAAAGGTATGCGAAACTTCTCACATCACAATGACTCAAACAAAAACTGACCATATACCATTCTTGGATTCTATTATTTTCAAAAAAACAGAGAAACACAAGCAAAGAAAAAATCAGATGCAAGAGCAAGAGCATCAAAAGGCGAAAGAAAAGCATAATCTATTGAATTCAAATTCTCTATTCACAACCACCATATAAAACATTACAAACTCTTGTAAAAATCACTTTTTTGTAATCTAGATATGCTTTAAAAAAAGAAATTCAAAAACAAAAGTAGAAAATTGAAATCAAAACAAAAAGGAACCAAAGTAAACCAAATGAGTTTCAAACATACAACTTCACTACCATTCATCCCAACCATCATCCGCTTTAGCTTTACCCGATTTCGAATTTGTTAAATTAGACTTCTTGTTAGAAGTCGGATTTGAAGTTTGACTTTTAACAGACAGATTCGAGTTTTGACGAGCAGCAGTTAAAGGAGCCATTGTCTTCCAATCATTTGAATCTTCACCTGAGATTTGATTACCAGTCGGAACAGCAGTATAAGAATCACCCACATCTCGAAACTCTTGATCATCATGATCATGTTCTTCATCTTCATCTTCATGATGTCCTTTGTGATCTTGATCAAATGAATCCACCGTATGATATTCACCTAATTGATCACCGGTCTTACTAAACGTTTCAAGTTGATCACTACCTAAGCTACCTATATCATATCCATGAGCTTTAGCTTGTTCAGCTGCCACTTTTAAACCTTCAGCTGCAATTCCAGATCCCACTTTAGTGACATCTATCACCGTTTTTTGAAATTTAGATGCAATCGACCAAACTTGTGATTGTAATTCAGGATCGACTACTTTTTCTTGTGCAGGTTTGACTACATTATCATTAATTTGTGATAAAGTTGAACTCAAAAATCCCCATCCTTTACTAAGTACAGCTGTAGCTGATGTGTCATTCCAACTTTGATCAATCGAATCGGATGGATTGGGACTATTCGAATTCGAACCGAATCCAACATATTTTCCACCTTGAGAAGGAGGTAAAGTATCACTTCGATTAGCATTAGCTGAACCCAAACTAGCGAAATATGATTCGTTTTCGAGTTTCTTGTTATTGGATCCAGGTGAAGGATTTGAACCTGAAGGAGTAGAAGGAGAAGCCGACCGAGAACTCAATGAACCCAGTCCAGTACGAGGTTTACGTAAAGTACCAGAAGGAGTAGAAGATGAAGGATTAGGTTCGATGATCGTAGGTGGTGTGTCTGAAGGTGACCAAGTTCGACCTTCTAATTCTGCTGTTAATTTATCACGATATTGAGCTGCAAAATGTGTATTATAAAGTACTGGAATGCTCATTTGGTTTGAATAATTTTCTGCTTGACCTGCTTCTAAACACCATTTCTTCCATTTAGCATTCCCACCTAATTCTAAAAGAAAAGAAACAAACCCAAACAAAAAAACTGTCAATGAGAATTTAATTTCAAACTTGAACAGAAAACATCTAAAACCAATTGACTCAACTCATTTTATCTACTTGACTTTGAGACCATTTATCAAGTGTAACACTTCTAACAAATGATAAATGGACACCTAAACTACGATGAGATCCAGAACAATTCAAACAAATAAAGATTCCATAACTAACAGAAGCCCACTATATATGTGTACAATCCATTTTAATCAATCTCCTTCTTCTTCTTTGAAAAAAGAAAAAAAAACTTACTTGTGGAGCTGGAGCTGAACAACTGAGATTGGTTTAAATACCGACCCAAGCAGAAGAAAAAAACGACAAAACTTTAGTTACTACGCAGATCATAAATCTCATTTGATTTCTAAAAACTTAATCTATTAATGAAAATCCGGAAAGAAAACACATACTCTGCACAAAGTTTATTATCAGATTCTTGAATAAGACTTGAAAGGATAGGTTGATATTCACCGGCCATTTTTTAAGAAGAAGAAAAAGGAGAATGCAGGTTGAAGTTGAAGTTGGAATTGAAATTGATCAGATCGATATGGGTTGGTGTGGCTAGCTAGTTTGATGACGGCGATTAATTATCAAGATAGCTTCCAACTCGTATCACAGCGGAGTTGAGGACACGTTGAATACATATGTAAAACCATCATTGTTTCAGTGTATGTAGTGTAGCAGAATACCCGCAGTACTGTAGTCTGTCACCCGGACCTGCACCTGTGTGAGCGAGACACCGTTGTGATTCTACTCACTTTTATGGGTACGAAAGTAAGTAGGAAGTAACTTGTCCTCTCCATTGCTATGAGGATGTGAGCAGGTTATATAGGCGAACATCCTTCTGCGAGAAACGAATAAGGAAAACAATGGAATGGCGGTACAACAAGAGACGATCGAAGATCGTAGTGATACAAGATGAGAGATGACCGAATCTGGTACTGTAGGATTCGGTCCACAAGGAAATACAGTATATGGTCGGGACGGATCTAGCAAGATCCGGTCTACAAGTAAAATAGGAAAAGAGTATAACAAAAATAGGAAGGGAGGAAAAGCACTAAGAGCACCCACTATGGTGGGAGTGTTTTATCGTAAAGTTTGCGTTCCTGAGCGCGAAGTTTGATCATGCGTGTTTTACCAAAGTTGATAACCGCGTGAAATCCACTATGGGATGATTTATCGTCTGCTTTCCCTAGTTCCTACGATAAATCAAGTCGTAGGCTTGCGTAAATCTGAACACACGAAGTGCAAGACTTGACGCAGCCGTACGGACCGCAGGTCTAAAACAGGTCCATAGTGGACCTGTTGGTATTTTAGCGTTAGGGTAACGCTAAATCACCGAGTTAACGCAACCATAGTGGGTGCTCTAAGAGCACCCACTATGGTGGGCGTGATTTATCGTAGACTTTGCGTTCCTGAACGCCAAATTTGATGATGCGTGTAACAACTAAATTGTTACACGCATGAATTCCACTATGGGATGATGTAACGTCTGCTTTACCAAAGATAAATCACTGTGGATCGACCAGATCCACAGTGGTCTAATTTTGAAATGAAATGATTTATCTTTCATAGATTTCATCCAAAAAAAATCACCAAATGCCTGCTCCGAGCTCCTTGAAAAAACAAATCGAACGGCTTTTGAAGTCTTCAAACGACGACAATGAGCAGCAGTACTATGACCAGTTGGTCTTCGACTGCCTCTTCAATGAGCTCCCACCACCGCCACCCCTTCCTCATACTCGTATACGTATAGATAGAGACCGTGTTGCTCGCGGTCAGCAACTTTACAATGACTACTTCGCACCGAATGCCAGATACAAATCAAAATTCGAACGTCAATTTCGAATGAGCAAAGAGCTCTGCTTGAGAATCATCAAAGATTTGCAGAAACATCATCAGTTTTGGCTTCAAAAACCTGATGCATGTGGAGTGATGGGACTCACGGTATATCAGAAGGTTGTGTGTGCTTTGAAACAGCTCACCCTGGGAATTCCAGCTGATGCGACGGACGACTACGTCGGTATTGGCAAAACTACTGCTATACTCTGTCTGAAGCTATTCATGAAACACATAAATGAAATATACGGTCCCGATTATCTTTGACCTCCAAATCCCGAGGAGCTCACTCGAATCATGAAAGAATACGAGATCCGTGGGCTTCCTGGTTGTAAGGGTAGCCTTGATGGCATGCACTGGGCTTGGAAGAACTGCCCACTTGCATGGGCTGGGCAGTTCGAAGGAAAAGAACACACCCCTACGGTCATCCTCGAAGCAGTTGCATCCCAAGATCTCACGATCTGGCATGCTTTCTTCGGAACGCCGGGTTCGTTGAACGATATCAACGTATTAAACCGGTTGTTTCTTTTCACTGACTTCCTCAAAGGTAAGTTTATTTCAAATCCAGTTCATGTTTATTCCAAAATCATGAACTGAGATTCAAATCTTCTTGAATCATCTAGGAAATGAAGATGAAGTCCATTTCACCGTCAATGGACATCTCTATAAGCAGGCCTATTATTTAGGTGATGGAATCTATCCCGACTGGCCGACCATCGTCAAAGCACCACGAGATCGCCAAGCTCCAGCGGCCAGGCTCTTTGCTTCAGCTCAAGAGGGAGCTAGGAAGGATATTGAAAGGGCTTTTGGTGTCATTCAGATTTGTTTCGCAATCACTCGAATGTCATGTCGTATGTGGTATTTAGTAGATATGCACTCGGCTATGATGTGCTGTCTAGTACTACACAATATGATTATTCAAGACCGAGGATCACTCGATCCTATAATCGAGAGTTACACTTCTCAAACCAGGATCGTACCGAAACTGGCAGATCCAGCAGTACAAAATACTCTTATGGCGTATCTTCAAAATACTCTCCTACTGAGAAATTCCAACACTCATCAAGAGCTACAGCGCGATCTCACAATGGATCTCTGGCTGAAGGAAGCGGGTGAATGAAATAGAATTATTAGAAATCAATTTTACATTTGCTATCATGTCAACATTTGCAAACAACTGCTATACATTTAAAACTTTTACTATAACGATTTGGCTTTACATATTAGATTTGTACATATGTATTTTAAATGAATACAAGGAAATCGATTGATTTTTGAGATATTCGGATTGAGATGTTTCTTTTGTTTGATGAATTGAGATGTTTCTTTTGTTTGATGAATAACCTCTGTACCTACTTTACGAGTATCAACTTGTGTTTGGTGAATAAGATTTGTATCAATTTTAAATGAATACGAGATGATGAAATGTTATGTATAAGCTATTGATAATGCCGAGCAACTTCCTCTTTCAGCCCTCGTAGTATTCTTTTTGAAATCTCATCGGGACATTCATCTTCTTTTCCTCAAGCAATCTCGAGATCTTTACTTTTAAGTTCACTTGTCATTAAATTGTTTGCAATTCGATTGGATTCTTCGCTAGCTTCTGCTCGTCGGCTTGCCACCGCTGTAAATGATTTAATGGCCTCGATTCTTTCAGATTCATCATTAGCTTGTTTTTTGCTTTCAAGACGCTGCTTCTTTGCAGCCTTTCCACCAATTGGACGCTCGCCACTATCATCTGGCCGAGCATGATTGTTGGCTGAAGTGGATTGAGTTGAATCTTCTCCAATCGCATCTGAAGGTGGAAGAAGATCTGCAGGGGGTGCTGGAGGGGGATGCGCGCGTTGATTGATCAGACGAGTATCCCATTTAGGTTCGTACCGAAGCTTCTGCCTAGCAGCGAGATGTTTGAACGGGGAATTGGTCTCAGCCTGAAAGATCTTCATTGCATCGACGATCCAGGTATCCGGTGATGTCCAGATGGTGGATCGTGCTCCAGACGAGCATATATACCCGAGAACTTTTGGGTTGCTGGATTCAAAACACGCCATCTGAATTTGGAAGGTAGAAGAAGTCAGAAGTTTGAATGTTTTGATTTCTAAATTGAAATGATACTCACTGGCCCTTGCACATCTTCCCTGAGCGTGTGGTTACCGAGTGAGAATTGAAATGCACTGAAACATCTTCAAAAAAAGCATCACTTGACATATTGTTTGAGTATTCTGCTCGTGTACTAGTCACAACCCAAGAAATTGCAAGTTGCTCAAGCTCAGGTTCAGTCCATTTGTCGCCACGTTTAGAAGTGGCTGTTGAAGTGGCTGGGGCTGGAGGAACCGACATATTAATTTGTGTTGAAGTGTGATGAGGAAGGTTTTTGAAATTCGAACTTTGAAGTTCAGGTGTTGAAGTTTGAGGATGAGGTTTGAAGGAATGATTTGTGATGTTTTGTAGTTTGGGGTTTTGAAAACTACAGTTGTTGACAGATTATCCTACGATAAATCATGTCGTAGGGTTGCGTAGATCTGAGCACGCGGGGTGCAAGATTTAACGCAGCGGTACAGACCGCAAGCGTAAAACAGGTCCATAGTGGACCTGTCTGAATTTTAGCGTCAAGGTAACGCTAAATCACCTCGTAACCGCACCCATAGTGGGTGCTCTAAGGGAAAAGAAAAGCGCAGAAAGCGCGTAAGCATACAACAACGGTAATAGCCTATTTAGGAATCACACCATCCCCTCCTTAAGACCGTAAACTTCCTAGTTTACATCTTTGTATTTACCTTTGTTTCGTCGCACTAGTTCTTTCATGCCACTATCATTTAGGGATGACATGTTAGTTAAGAACTCATATACGAATTCGCTCGAGGTTCTGTTCTTGACAGTCTCGTATGCTTCACGGCATAGTACCAGATGTCCCATTACTTCGTTTTCTAGCCACTGTATCTCGTTCGTGTAATCTGCGAGATGCGAAGTAAAATTCATTGGTAGATCCTTTGAATTTTTTCAAACGACACCCGTTCACCTTAGCTTTAAGCACATGTCCGTTGGAAGTCATTAGTGTGAACGTACCATCGGGAGATGCCTCTTGGATAATGAATGGTCCATCCCACTTGGGATGGAGCTTGGATGGTCGGCCTTCAAATTGGCGGAGGACTCTGTCTCCAGGTCAAAAGTTTCGTTCTGTATATGATTCCTCTTGCGTCACCGACCTTTCTTTGGCCCTTTGATTGAGGTCATCAATGAGCTCTTGTCGCGTTGTGTTAAGTTTATCGGTTGCTATATTACGTTGTCTAAGTATTAGTTCTAGGTTCTCTAGTGAGTTGTCGAATTTAATGCTTACAGCTTCTGAAGGCAACCTAGCTTCTGCCCCGTAGGCCATATAAAAGGGTGACGCTTTCATTGAGTGCGAAAAAGATGCGCGATATGCGAATAAACAAGTATTTAGATAGTTGTCCCACAAGTTTTGATTGTAAGGACTACAAAACTTACGGAGAGCATTGGTTAAAGTACCATGGAACCTTTCGTCCAACCCGTTTGTCTGAGGGTGATAGGGTGATGTATTCTTTTGCTTGATATTGTTCTTTTTGAGGTAAGTTTTGAAATTATGGGATATAAATTCTGACCCGTTGTCGGTTATGATTTCTTCGGGCACACCGTGGTTCAAAGTGAGTTCCTTGACGAGTGAGACTGCTGCGTCTGAGGATGTGGAAACAAGAGCTTTAGCATACGCCCACCCTGTACCATAATCTATGGCGGTGATGATATATTGGTTCCCGTTAGGAGTCTTGGGTAGTGGACCAACGAAGTCCATTCCCCACTTCCTAAAAGGTTTACCACGGGGTAGAAATTGTAGTGGCATACCTTGCTTCTTTGAAATTGGTGCATGAACCTGACAGGCTTCACACAAGTCTATAGCCTCCTTGACTGTGTTTTCGACGTTAGGAAACCAGTATCGTCGTTTCACTGCGCTCGTGACATCTTTAATGTTGCAATGTCCCAGGTCTTCATGGATGCGGTAACAAATCCTTTCGGCTTCAGGCCGGCTAGTTGGGACTGTGAGTTGTTCTCGGTGAGGGTGATCGAGGTCTATTTTTACCATGCGGTCACCGTCCAAGAAAAAGTCTCCATTTCCCACTTTTGAAGGAGGTATCCCAGATTGTAATTGTAGTTTATTTTGTAGTAGCTCACGGTATTGTCCTTCGTGGTCGTGGATTGCAAAAAGTGAGGCGGCGGTTTCTGGAGGATCTGTATCAAATTCGGTGTCCGGTTTTCTTGAGAGAGAGTCGGCGGCTAATTGATCATTTCCTGGACGATAGATGATCTGAGTGTTAAAAAACTCGATCTCGTCTACAAATCGAGCGAGACGTCGGTTAATATGCTTCTGTGTTTTGAAATATTTGAGCGATTCATGATCGGTCCGAATTAGAACAGGCGAACCTTCTATGAATCCTCTGAAGTGTTTCAATCCGTGTACGATGGCGAGCAGTTCTCGTTCTTGGGCAGAATAATTCTGTTCCGTTTTGGAAAGTTTCCGTGATTCAAATGCGATTGGTCTCAGATTCGAATTCCTCAGGTTTTTTTGATATAGGTTATAATCGAAACTTACTCCTTCAGGGACTTTTACGTTGGTATCTTGTTGAAGGATCGCTCCTATGTTCGTACCGGAGGCTTCGGTGTCAAGTACGAACGGCTTGAAGGGTTCTGGATGCTGAAGAGGGACAGTTTGAGATAAAGAGGCCTTGAGTTTGTCGAAAGCAAGTTGCTCTGTATCCCCCCAGACAATTGACGTCCCAGGTCGTGGGGATCCTTCAGTCAATTTGTATAATGGGGATGCTACAGAGGAGAACTTTAAAATGAAGCGCTTATAGTAAGTGCAAAGGTTCAAGAACCCGCGTACGTGGGAAATATTAGTGGTACTGGGCCACTCAACGATTTTTTGAATCTTTTCCGGGTTCGTTCTAATACCGTCTCCGTCCACGATGTGTCCCAGGAATAGTAGAGAGGATTTTCCGAATTTACATTTTTTGGCTGAAACGACCAAGCCATTCTTTTGTAGGATTTTGAAGACAGTTTTCACGTGGTTCTTGTGTTCTTCTTCGCTCTTTGAATAAATTATCACATCGTCTAAATAAACAAGTGCGAACTTGTCAATTACTTCTTTCAAGATGGAGTTCATCATCTCCTGAAAAGTTGCCGGAGCGTTACAAAGACCAAAGGGCATAACACGCCACTGAAAGTGGCCCAACCTACATGTGAATGCTGTTTTTTCTTTGTCCGCACCTTCCATCGGTACCTGCCAGAAGCCTGATTTTAGATCAATCGTGGAGAAGACCTTTGATCCGGATAAGAATAAATATGCATCATCGATGCGCGGTAAGGGATAAGCGTTCTTTTTTGTGACTTTGTTCAGAGCACGATAGTCAACACATACCCTATTAGACCCATCCGGTTTCTTGACGAGTAATAACGGCGAACTCCATGGTGAGTCAGAGGGTTCAATTATACCTTGAGCAATACTATCTTCAACAAACTGTTTGATGGTAGCGTGTTCTGGAGGCGTATGAGGTCGTCCGTGAGTCTTAATGGGCTTAGCGTCGCCAGTGTCAATATGATGTTTATACTTACCATTAACAGTTCCTATTTCTTCTTTCCAACAGGCTGGTGCGGTCTTTCTTGCCAAATCTTCTAATAACTTTTCATAGTTGTCTTTGTCCATAGTGAACAACTTAGGCTCATACTGTCTTGGGCGTACTCTGAATCCATTTTTGACGATGTAAACTCCAGTGGTGAAATTTACGAGGGGTTTCTGTTCGCGTAACCAGGGTAGTCCAAGAATAAGGGAGATATTGGGCAAGGGTAAGACAAAAGCTCAGAGATTGAATTCATGGATGTCCATGCTTTGTTTGTCTTGAATTTTTGCTTCGAATAGTGCCACTTGATTACACGATTCTTTCGCGCCGTTAGCTAACCGCACTCCTTGTTGATTGACAGGCAAAATGTCGATTTTGGTTGGGAACAGTTCTTTCATCTTGTCGACTTGTTCCCTTGAGATGTAGTTGGCCGCCGCGCCGCTATCTATGATGGCGTCCACCTGAATATTTTGGAATCAAACAGGATAGATTGGTAGGGAGGTCTTCCCGTCCTCCTCGTGGGAGGCGAGATGTGGATTGTCATCGAGGATCGGTCGAGTTAATCCGTTGTGTTCAGATAAGGAACTTGACTCGATGTCAACAACTGATAAATCATGTAACGAGGATGAAAGGGAAGGGAGATTGATGGCCTGTGGTCCCGGGTCTTTGTAGTCGGTGAGATTTGAGTGAGCGTCACTCATGATGCTACCACGAGACTCTACGGCAGCGGTACTTGAGTTTTCTTCGTCTGGGGTGCAGACGGAATCAAAGTCGTCCCTGTCGGCCCAACTGGTGTAAGTGGTGTTGAGGATGTGGCTCCACGTCTCAACGTTAACTAGTTCACGTTCGGCTAGTTCTACGGGATCCGGGCCATTCGATGGAGAAGGTGTCCGAATTGTAGTGTATCGATATCCGTCAATCACGGGAAGTTCCAGTTTGGTTTTCTTCTCGGGATTGAGGTTCTCAGTCTTCATATCTATACTAAAGACGTCGTGGTCACAGCCTGGTTCCTGTTCTTTCGGACTGTCGAGGTGAGTCCTTTTTTTGGAAGTGTTGAAATCTTGAGGCGTCAGATCAAAATAGCTTATACCGCTTGAGGTGGTGGGTGGACTATCCTCGTTTCCATAGGCTTTACAAGACCTACAACAGCAAAAGTCATTTGCGTCTTTGATTACTCTAGCTACTGCCTCTCTTTCTTTGTTTAAGTTGAGCAGGGTCTCGGGTTCGATATCTCGGAGTGCTTCGAGGTAGTGATTTTTGTATTCTTCCAGATCGATTTGACCATCCTCAGTTGGTCCATCTAGGCTTTCAGATGATTCTTGCGACGCTCTGTAGACTTTGCCATCTGCGTCAGAGAAAGGGGTAATAAAAGGGGTTTCTTCCTGTAGTTCGTGATCTTGAAACGGAGAAACAAACGAGTCAAGAGAAAGAAGGTCTGACAGAAAGAAAGGAAGATGTTCCATGAGTAATAAGTTAGGTCTCCGGCGATCAGAGTTATTAGGGCGATTTCTTGAGTTGTTGAAGGGTTTCCTCTTGTGTCCTTTGGGACATTTGTCTGCCATATGTCCCATGGCGTGACAGCTATAACACTCAACCTTTGCCATATCTACTGAATCTAAATCCATTGGTCCGGAGCTATTAGTGACCGTGTGAGGTTTGCCAAAGAGGTTTGGAGATCGGAAGCTACTGCGATGAGAGTTGAAGGTTTTCTTGTCGAAGTTCTTGTGATGAGAGTTAGAGGATTTGTGATAATCTTGTGATTTAAAACTTCGGTTGTTGATTTTGACGGTTCTCTCGGCTTCTCTCGCAGCTGAATAGATGAGTTCCATATCTTTGTTAGTTCTGATGTCACCTTTGTTATTGATTTTTTCTCTAAAGTGTGCTGGGAGTTTGTCGATGAAATTGAATTTGCGAGTCTCGAAAGTGACAACATCTAGGGGAAGGTACGCCATTAATCTTCTGAACCTTAAGATATAATCGTTGATGTCGCCCTTATAGTAACATATTTTGACCTTTTCTAATATTTCTTCTACCATCATGTCGAAGTTATAATGGTTCAGGAAATGCAATTTGAAGTCTTGATAATCAGTAATGGTTCCTCCTTGAGTTTTACGAACTTCATGCCAGAACATATTACTTTCTTCGTCCAAATACAATCCGAGCATTTCGCCCCAGGAGGATTCGGGATATCGATGCATCGTAAAATTGGATTCCAATTCTGAAAACCAGAGGTGAGCGTTGTCTCCATACCCGGTAAACTTTCTTGGTTCAGCCCGAAAGGCATCGGGTTTGGGGGGAGCTGGAGTCTGTGCTCGACTGTTAAGGAGGTTTTCGAGGTGGTTGATCTGGTTAGTTTGTTGCTGAAAAACATTTTGGTTTTGTTGGCGAAGGTCGGCTATCTCGCGAGCATGGTGTTGTTCGCGTTGGTGGAGTTCGTTGCCAAACTGTTTGAGTTGGGCGCGGATAAGACAAAGGTCTTCGGCCGGGATTTGTATGAATCCGGTATGATCTTCCATTTCTGTTGGGTTATTGGTTCGTGTATAGGGTAGAAGCAAAGGGAAATTTAAGAGATGGTTCTTAGGAATATTTAGACTTGATCAGAGTCTGGTTTACGTACGTGGGTTCTTCAAAAAGATACTGATGAGTGATTTAAAAATCAAATGGCTAAAAAGCACGAGGAAAGTGTTTCGATAAACGGTTATAAGGTGTTGGTGATTTGTTCTGTGTGTATAAGAGAAGGGATTCTTTAATTAATCTAACTAATTGAGGGGAAGGGTGTCGAGAGGATTTGGAATGACTAGCTAGGAGATTTCAAAAGCTTACGACGGTTTTAATCCGGATTGTGGGGAGGTTTGTTGCTTCTGGTTATAGGGTATTCGATTACGGTTGTCTGTCGAAAGGGATATTGAGAAACACAAAGTTAGATCACGGATTTAGAGAACGAGCCCTTTTCGATATCAGGTTTATAATGATATTAAAGTTAGAGAAATTGAGAAAGAAAAATAAATAAAACACACAAATATATATTTGTGATTCTACTCACTTTTATGGGTACGAAAGTAAGTAGGAAGTAACTTGTCCTCTCCATTGCTATGAGGATGTGAGCAGGTTATATAGGCAAACATCCTTCTGCGAGAAACGAATAAGGAAAACAATGGAATGGCGGTACAACAAGAGACGATCGAAGATCGTAGTGATACAAGATGAGAGATGACCGAATCTGGTACTGTAGGATTCGGTCCACAAGGAAATACAGTATATGGTCGGGACGGATCTAGCAAGATCTGGTCTACAAGTAAAATAGGAAAAGAGTATAACAAAAATAGGAAGGGAGGAAAAGCACTAAGGGAAAAGAAAAGCGCGGAAAGCGCGTAAGCATACAACAAAGGTAATAGCCTATTTAGGAATCACACCGTCTTGGAAGGGAAGGATCCGGGTGCCCGGAACACTGATCTTTGTTAAGATTGTGAGCATCTTTTGACTTTTCTGCAGCTGGATAAAAGCACAAAAGATTGCTTTTAGAGAATCAAAAAACAAACATTGTACAGAACAAAAAAGACTTGATATTGAAGTTGGAATCTAAGTTGAAGTTGGACTAGGTAGCTCATGCAAATTTCAAAAATCAAACCTTTTTTCATAACTTGTAAATTGAAACAATTGGTTTTACCAAAAGATTCTTTTAAAATGTTTTTGGAAATTTTTAAAAAAAGAATATCAAATCATCATTTTGATCAGAAATTCAAACTTCCTAGTCATTCTTCAAAAGTGTCAACATCAAATTTCTGAGAGATGGTATGTCATTCTTATTGATTTTTCAAAATTTACTTTAATATGATCAGAAGGTTCTTCAAACGGTCATATCCTTGAGAGTAAAGCCTGTCTTTATAAGATTTACAGTAAATTTCAAGAAAACATGTAAACTTGTTCACCGCCAAAACTTGACTTGAACCCCCCCCTGAAATGGGCACGTGCCAAGCCCGTCCATACGCAGTTTTTGTGGTAGATTTTGGCCTTGATGACCATTGAAAAATCATGAAGAGTAATTTCACTGACCAAATTTTAGAGTTTGATGCAAGTTTTGTGGAGGTCGAGAATTGCAAATCTTCAAGTCAGGTGAGTGGAGGGAGGGAGTTTCGTTGCGGAATCCGGATCCTCCACTGGAACACTCCGTTGTCCGACAGTCTGGATGTGGAGAAAATCTTTGATCTGTGGTCGACTTGCATCATCGAGGTATGTGCAGTCGTTCTCAGAAATGTTGGAAAAATCCAACATTTCGAGCTGAGGTCGTGGTCCCGAGGAGGCGACTTTTTCATGACATGTGTCACGGAAAAGTCATGGCAGCTGTCGAGTGGAGATCAGTGTCCCTTTCACCAACCTCAACTCCCTTGTGTCCTCTCCATGCCATCCTTCCTCTGATCCTCAGCTCGTGTTACAACCCCTTAACCATGAAATCGTATGTTTTCACCGTTTTTCTGAAGACATTGGTCCGTTAGCCTGGCCATTGGCAAGATAGTAGTCTGGTCATCGAGGTATGATGGAAAGTAATCGAATTTTCATCTTGAGATACCTGTCAAAATCAAAGTTTTTGTCAGTGTTTGTATCTGCGTGTCACTGCTCAGCGCACGGACCCCGAGCTCAGCTCGAGATTTTGCAATTTTCCAACATTTCTGAGAACGACTGTATTGTAATTTGGCAATGTGATGAGGTTGAGGTTCCCGTGTTGCTTGTCGCTTCGTGTTCTCGGTCTACGTAGCGATTTGACTTGAACAAGGTATTTCAAACATCTGCTCTGCGGTCACCACCTTGCTGCAATTGGAATTGCTGGTGAACATACATACGTCCAGCTTTTGGACCCCTTTCTCGTAAATCTATATTCAAAGTCGCATTCATGCAACATTTATTACGAGATAGACCTGACCTGATCATCGCAGCATCCGTTGAATATTCAAGTCTCAGCGAGAGCTGTATGTACTCAGTGCGAACCCTCTCGTACTTGTTTGACCTTTCTTTCCTCAGCGGGGCAGTGGAGAGAGATCATAGTCTGTAACGTAGACGTTTGAGGGGGTCTGGACATCATTTGAATGGTGTTGCTTGTCTCATCCCTTTTCACAATTCGTTCTTCATTCGTATAAGACTGAGTGAGTAGAACTACCCACTTTCCCTTCTTTTCACATCGATCCTTGTCGACTATAGTCCTTCTTCGTTACTTCTTTATTTGCCCAGTTATTTTGTACATTCTTCCTGTTGGGCCCTTTTTTTAAAGTTCTGATCCCTGAGTTTGATCTCTTGGCACCCTGATTGCGAATATTTGGGGGATACGCTGGCCCTTCTCTCGTCCATTCCCTTCGCGTCCTCGATCAACACACTGTTCTAAGGCTATTCTCTGGCTAGAGACTCCAACATGACCCAAGTTGTATGCTCTTTTCAAGGTTGGTAATCTCTTCATATCTTGAGAAAATTTATCCTGACATATGCTCACTTTATATCATCTCTTGTGGCTGATACTATCGCAGAGCCTTCTCTGACTCGGTTGGCAAGTCCTCCAGCTGGCTTTGCAAGCTCCTTGAAGCTATCCTCTCGAACTCAATCACGCCCACCACCCATGTTGCTCGTCGAAGGCAAAGATGAGCAAATCTTGACCTCTCCCTCCGATCGAAACTTCAGCAGTTCCCCTGGATCTCGACTACTACGCCCGGGCCGCAACAAATCGCCCAACCACACTCCTGTCTCCCCCGCCCTCATCAAGGGTGATTTGCACTTCAATGTCCTACCACCCCTATCAGCCCGAGCCATAGCTGAATGGGGACCATCGCCGACAGGAACACATTTCAGTTCCCAAGATCTTGCTAGTCCACACCAGAACAATCGGTCAAAATCAGATCATCTAGAACCGTCGCATGAAGATAGCACTGTCGCTGATATGCCCTCATCAGCTCCATCAAGCGCTTTTTTACGCCCCAGCTTCCATTCCCAGTGCCAGACATCGGTCACTTCCCCCCCTGCCACACCATTCACGCCTCTCACGCCCGGACCATATAGCTCGCCACAGCACCGCGAAGCCACTCGAGACCAACGCCGCCCATCTCTCAAACATCGCAAGGTTCGACATCGCCCCACCCCACTCCAACTCTCTCCTCAGCCATTGGAAATTGGGCATAAGCAATCTCAAGATTTTAGCGGCATTAAGAAGCTTCACAGCGTGCGTTTTGCTGATGGTTCTCCCATGCGTGGTTCAACCTGGTAAGTCTAATTACATGCCCACGGCCAATGCTAGGCTGCAATTCCACATAAGCTGATTTATATTTATCAGGCACTTGAATCAATACCCCGAGCGACTTGCTTCACCTCCCATCTCGGCAGCGAACTTGACACTTGCCGATCTAGTCGAATTGGAATCTATCAAGCAATCTCTGGGAACTTGGTGTGGTCAGTGACGATTTCCTATCTGTTTTTGATGATTTACAGGGCGTTCCACTGAGGCAATGTTCATTCCCTACATTTAGGTGAAATGATGGGCTCTTTTATTCGTAGCTCCTCGCTCTCGGACTCGCAAGACCAAATTGATACTTCGTCAGACGCCTATTCTCAATCCGCTGACATTATGCGGTCACCGACTCTCAGCGATGCTGATTGGAAAGCCCGATGGCCTATTTCACCCGCCTTTTCAGATTGTGACAGCGAGATTTTTGAAGGCATGCATTGACCCGAGTTATCCTGGCGCCACCGTTATACATTCCTTCGAATCCGTCTTTGTCAGGATCTTTCTATATGATTCTGTGCAACCTTGTGCATACCGATAATAGACGCAACATGGACGACAACCCTATCCGGTTGCCTTTAAAAGAATTTCATCATATCACTCTTTATCCTCCAAGGACATAGCATGAACCTAAGGTGGGGAGCTAGCTTAGAAGTCTTTTCTTTTCTTGGTCGGAAGACTTTCATTCTTTAGCATTGGGTTTTCAATACCCCGGCGGGGTGCAGGGCATTTTTGGGACGCTGTGACTTCAATGTCCATTGGGAAGACATCAAGTATGAGTCATAAACACACCCAAAGGCTGGTTTGAAACCCGATCAGTCCTGCTTTACTCAGGCTTGCTGACCTCGGCCATTGATGATCCTATTTTTATCTTCAATTTCTTTACTGCTTATGTATATTCTTGTAACACTTCTATATCGTCTGGAGCTTTTGGGATTCACATCATCCGTTTGCAATTATCTTGTCATTTGATTGAACACTGCTGGGCTTTCAACTCTGCTCACGCACCCCCTGGGCATTGGTAGTCTTTCTGGCATCCGTGAACACTGGAACTTCCCCCCACAATGTAAGATGCCAGGAAGAATGACCTTTCCTCATACTGAGCCTAAAGTTGATCTCATCAAACTCACCCATACCCCAAGATTTTGAATGAGATAGGACCCAAAAAGGACTGTGGAACATAGGAAAAAAACCCTACCCTTGCATGTTTTGCTGAGCAGGACCACTGTTACTGAGGGCCTGTTTTTTTAAAAAAGTGCATTGGGCATTTATTGCACAAAACACTATGTGACTAAACAACTTAAAAACAGTATGGACTAGTTCACCTTGGTAATATCGGCCATCTAGTTGGAGCAAAGAATATGTTGTCATTAGATGTCAAGAATTGATCTTGTTGTTTTAACACTATCCGTTGAAAATGAAAAACAGAAATTTGAATCTCTTTTGTCATTCACACCTTTGTGCAATGAGGGCCTGTTTGCTTGCCACTTAAACCAGGTACACTACAAAAGTGTGATTAGGGCTATGACCCGGCCCCCAAAAATTGTGGCCGGGCACGGGGCCTTTGATAGCCCCGGAAATTCCAAAAGGCTCCCAGGAGGTGGGCAGGGCCAACCAGGGCGCACCTTGAAATGTAGGGCTTGGGAGAACAAGGGGCCATCGGGAGAGCCCTGACAGTCAGGCCTTTCAGTGACCGGTCCCTTACCTGTGAAAGCCAACACAATTCTTTCACTCTTCCTTTCCGCTACATCACATCCCCAATGAAAGCTTGGTGAGAACTTTGAGTAAGGCACAGGTGTGACAGGCCCTGTGGTCCTCTGCCCTCATCTCAGCTTCCCCCCTTCCACTTAATCAATCACCACCTCTGTTTGACCATCTCACCTCAACTCAACTGCAACCACAACACCTCCAAAAGACCCACATTCAAATCTCACTTTTAGCACATCAACAAGCTCTTCCCACTTCCCCTTCCCAATTAACAAGGCAAGGTGGGTTTCACCTGCCCCAAATGTCTTGCCACTGGCAAAACCACGCCTCTGAAGTATATCAATCACTCCCCACTTTCTTGAAGAAAGAGTGAATTACATTTCTTGTCTGATGTTTAAATTTTTCAATTTTTTAATGTGTTTTGGTTTGTTTGAAATTCAAATCCTTTTAGCATTCTCTTTCTATATATACAAATCATTTGATCCATTGATCTTCATCATGTAAAGTGACTTGGTCTCAATTAAGAGTACACATAAGGAAACTCATCAAGTTGTTTTTACACATGATTCTTTCACTCCATTCTTACATAGAGTGGTGTCAAGAGGTGAATGTATATTCTAAGATTGCTAATCTCCAACTCGTGGGAGGGCTATCCAATTGGATACAGCTTCCCGTCTTCAATTCTCCACTGGCCTATTCTACCACAGCAAGATTTAACCTTTGCCAGATCAACATCCTACTAGGTGTGGTGTGGGGGGGGCCCAGAGGTGATAAATCTATGGAGAATAGGTATTCTCGCTAACATTTATCACCTCTGGGGACGAGAGTAGGCCTGAGGAGGACTGACTCCTCGACCAACGCCGGAACCGCTCCGCTACGCACTGAATTTTGAACTATTTTCAGTGTGATGCGGAGTATGCGCTATATAACGCAATGCAATCCAATCGCAACCCGCTATGGAAAAAAACCTCACAAGGTATCACAGCGAGAAAAATGCTCCGCTCTGCGCAATATTGCGCTCTATAGAAGCAACCGCAATAGGGCGGTTCAAGAAGAAAGTCGTGAACACCCGTGTCGCCCAGACCCGATCACCTTTTTTAAGGATGGTCGCACCTTAAAATTCTAGTTTGCAAAGTCACGAACAGTCTTATTATAAGTTTTAAGTGCTTGTTAATCCAGGTCCAAATTTTCTTAACGGTCGGCCCTGGCGTTTTTTTCTTTTCTTGACGCCGAACGACAATTGGCATCCTAGCCCGTGAGCACAAGCAGGGGGCTTTTTTTTGGGTGCTTGGCAACACGGAAGTGCAATCAGCGGAAGCCCCATATAGATATCCACATCCATCCACTTTATTTGGAAAATTTTGAAATTATCCAAATACTCAGTTCGACATCTCACTCACTCTCAGTTTGACATCTCACTCACTCGCACACCGCCTCTTCATCATTCATCCCTGAAAATGCCGCGCGTCTCCGAGAGAACTGCAACGCTCCGTGATCTCACTAACCTTTGCGTTGTGGCCCATATGGACTCCGACTGGAACATGCCTGATGTTTCACTATCACCAACCATTCCAACGGAAGGCACCTTGGTCTTTTATGACGATAACGTAACGGCGAATGTGTACAATACGCTTTTCAACGAAGAAGAGATGTGGGGTGCGCTACTTGGTCACTTACTCTCACGACGGTACCTTCACGCACGTGTACGGGATCCGTTCCCAACGGCTTTCGATTTACGCGACATGCTTCGTTCGCGAAGGACCGACTTTCGCCAGGCGATGCGTACCTCCCCAGAGGGCTTCCTCGCGCTGCTTCAATTACTAGAGTCACACCCGATATTCATTTCCACCAGTAATAATCCGCAGCCGCCAATTGAAAAGCAATTGGCCATCACCCTCGAGCGACTGGGCAGCAATGGCAACGGAGCCTCGGTTGGACGTTTTGCCAGAAATTACAAGGTCGGGCGAGGCTCCGTTATCAACTGTACTAGACGAGTTATTACGGCCCTTTTGGAAGTAGGGGCTCACTACCTCACATGGCCAAGTGCGGACAGACGCAAGGCTATCTCAACAGTCCTCTCACGCGACGGTTTTCCACGGTGTGTGGGTTTCGTGGATGGAACGACCATTCCTCTGTTTCAACGTCCCGGTCGTGACGGAGAGGTCTTCTTTGACCGCAAGCATCGCTATTTGATCAACGTGCAGATAGTGTGTGACTGCGACAGAAGAATTACGTACGCCTACGCGGGTTGGCCAGGATCCTGTTGTGATAGTACGGTTTATGCCAAGTGTGAAATGGCAAATCAGCCAGCCCTTTATTTTGGACAAGGTTTGTGTTGAAACTGTTTTGCTTGATTGAAATGACCCAAACTGATTGGATAAATTACCCCAGGCGAATACATAATTGCGGACTCCGCTTACTTACCTTCTGAAACCGTGGTCCCTGCGTACAAAGGTCAAGCCGCCGAGGTTGAGCAAAACAAAGACTTCAATTGGTGTATTGCAAAATCCCGGGTTAGAAATGAACACTGCATTGGGATCTTAAAGTCTCGATGGGCGTCACTTCAAGGCCTGAGGTTGTCCTTGAACTCTCGGGGGGACATGTATCATATCCTGCATTGGGTACGCACGTGCATCATATTACATAATATGTTGGCAGGGCTTGGAAACGCTTGGACTAAAGAGGACGATCTGCTCTTACCAGAACGTGGTGAAGCTGGGCGGTTGCAAGGAGGTGCTTTTCCCGAGCCAGTGGGCATTGAGATTGGAAGGGCGAAACGTGAGAGTGTCCGAGACCACGCGGTGGCCTACAATTGGCAAAGCGGAGGTTTACCAATTGTAGCTTGATATAGACAATGTCCTTTTTGTGTGTTTCTCCATCCGTGCTTTCTTGGTTTCAATGGCCTTCTTCTAGTGTTTGTCTCAATTCTGTCTTACCCAGCATCTATCAAGTTTGTGACCTGTTATCGAAGTGTTAGTAATTGTGGTTCGTAATGAAGTTATAGTTTTCTTGATTGTTAAGATACACGCGAGGTTGCCTCCAGAAATTGCTCCCTCAGAATCTAACGCGTGACTGTAACGGCACATCAATGCCAAAGGTCCGGAGTATAACATTTTAGGTGTTACCTTGTGGTTGGTGATTCGATAATCTCACTCAATCTCAACTCATTTCATTACGGACTGAAAAAGGTATTTATTTCAAATAACTACAAAGAATCACTGTAGTACTTATCACAAATCAAGGGCAAGAACAGATCAAGGGCAAGATATTTCCAAACATAGGAGGACAATACCAGTAAACTGAGGTGTAAGAAAAAGATTAACTACAAACGAGTAAACTTAGGTGTAAGAAAAAGATTAACTACAAAGAATCACTGTAGTACTTATCACAAATCAAGGGCAAGAACAAAACAAGGGCAAGATATTTCCAAACATAGGAGGACGAGACCAGTAAACTGAGGTGTAAGAAAAAGATTACAGGGGACATAACTGACAACGGGAAAGTGAACAGTGAAGACGAGTGCTCTTACTAACTAGGTGGCGATAGCGACCCAAAAGATACATGACTGGTACCGTGCTAGTGAAAGACGATTGCTGATAGAACATCATCTAGGTATCATAGGTATCAAGATGCGCAGTCAGCACACAGATGCTGACTACTAAGATATAATTGACTTGAAACAGCAGGGGTACTCACCATGCTTCTTTGGCTGGATATACTAAACGTAAGAACGCCTC